CTCCATTCTTCCAAAACAGAGAGCAACCCTTGATATTGAAGTTCCAGTCATAACAGCTGTCCCAGCAATTCTCTGTGATACCATCCTTGAGGTTGAAAAGGCATTGATGATGATCATCAAAGCCTAATGTGAAGAAAGGATTTAGCCTTCTTAACAAGTGGAGTAGGTGAAAGGCACTCTTAATGGCCACTGTCACCAACTAAAGATCCATATACAGGAGGTAACAGGGCAATAACTGGCTGGGGAGACAGTGCTAATGATGGTTTCTTGAGCTGAGGTCAGATAATTGCATATTTAAGAACATATGGCATGCTCCTTCCCAAAGAGAGGGCTGACCACCTCCTACCAGCAATGGTCACATCACCCCTGACTGGCTTTTACAAGCCAAGATAAGCAAGGGTCCAGTAGACGTGACATAGGGTACTAAGAAAGACCACTAAAATATTAGGATGTCCTTAGGTCCCACGTTGGCTTGAAATGTCCTCTAGGCACCTAAACTTGGGCAACTGTGCTTCCTCACAAGTAATCCAGAATAACCACTTAGACATCTGTTTCCACTTAGATTCTGTTATGTGGCAATTGATTATTAAATCAGTCAGTGCCCTCTTTCATTTTATCAGCCATCATGAGTCACCTTGAAAGTAGGATTCAGATGTGCTATCTCTGATATTTAATTTTTAGTTACCCTGCAGTATCTTCTCCATACTGTGCTGATTTCAAAGCTATGGTGGCTTGAGGTCAGCTTTCTGCCAATATAGGAGATTGACTGCCAGGAAAATGAGTCATCTTCAGGAGGAGCATTGACTAATCATACCAATGACACATAAGGAAGTGATCACATCTGGCAGGTTTTAACCGACTCGCATTAATGACCAGGTATTTATTTACAGCTGGGCATACTACTGGATTCTATAGTATGGTTCTTTATCACAATAAAGCTCAAACTCATTCTTGTGGAGAAGAAAACGTATACTAATATCTGTAGCACATTGCCTTCACCACACTGGAAACTTGTACCTATTTTTGTAGAAGCACAATGAGTTTATTGCCCTTTACGTTTCTTTTATCTTACATACATGCTGCATCTACCGTTTCTCTAGTTCTGTGTCTATCTAATATACCCCAGTATACACTGAAATATTTCCCTGTCTTTAAGGGAAGGTAGCAGTTGCAAGCAATTCAGGAGAAAGCCAACCACTTTCCATTTCTTGGTACCCTTCCAAGATTGTTTTTATCTTGGAAAACAATCTTACCTTTACTTTTCTCTTGGTACTGATCCAAAACCCATTTAAATCAAAGGAAAAATAATCAATTCATTTTAACAGTCATATAGTACCAGTCACCATCATATCTAAGTACTTTATAAGATTATCAAGTGAACACAGTAAGAGTAAGATTCTACCCCGTGCCCTAGGCACATAAATGGACATAAACACATAGGTGTGATATCAATCCATCATGCTTGCATCCTTGAAACTTGATAATACAGAAGGTAGGTGAGTCTTGCTCCTCCTCTGCTTTTTTGTGACTCACTCTTAAGTGTAAGATAACATACCATCATATGTTACAGGCATTAATAGATTTATGGTAACTTAAACAGGGTAGACTAGAATCACTTTCAGACATTTAAATCCACTTAAATGCTTCATAGATGGAATAAGATCTGTCCCTATGCTCTTTTCCCCTCTTCCCTCCAAGCAGCAAAGTGGACTTTGATTATATCTCTGTGTAAAATTCAAATGATACCTCTGTAGGAATTCTGATTCAAAGTGGGATGTTTGATGTGCTGCTTTACATGTCAGTACACAGAAGACACTTTTATCTATCAGATGCTTCACAGCAGTGCTGCAAGCTGAACTCTAGGAAGAAAACAGAAGGGCAAAAGCATGTCAGTATATATGCTGAGTTCTTTTCTGTTTGCAGCATTATAAAAAAAATAGTTCATATGTTCCTTTGGATGGGTTACTGAAATTTATACAGACTCACCCTATGTGATACTTTGCATTGGTAATGTCTAAATACAATGTTATATCACTAAGCTGAAGGTCATTGAACTGGCTGAGGAACATGACACATATCTTTTAATCAAAGAAAGGCAGGCCAAATTAAAGAGAGTTTTGTAGCCAATGTCTAAGCTAAAATCTTGTCCTGTGAAAGGGAAGATTAATGTATTTGTCTTGGGAAAAGTATTCTCTGAATATCAATTTTCTTATTTACTATTTCCTATAAAGGTCTGTAGGGACACCTTGTGGATTTGAATCTGTTTTGTCTAAGCTGTTTGCCAGTGGGATGTACTACAGAGCTCTCCTGCCAATAATCTTGCAGTGAAAGACTTGAGTTTCTTATAAAGAAATTCTCTGAGGGAAATTAAGGACACACAGTTGGCTTTCTGTCACATACTTTCAAAAACTAAAGTCACACATCAAATGTTGAAAGGTTGGAAAAAAGGAAGCTGGAATCCAAATGTAGAGTTTTGATATAGGGAATGGCAAGACTATTGTTCTACGTTAACAATATGGAGCCAAATACATCCTTGAAGTGTGCTTACTGAAGTCGATAGATTTACACTGTGTGATGAATGAGATGAATTTGACCTGTAACTCAGGCTTGTCAGGAAACATCAGAAAACTGAGAGACTGAAGAGCTTAATAGAGTCTTCATTTCCCCATGGATAACTAGCACATAGAAAATACTTCTGTTTATTGTGCCATTCGTTGGTGTGGTTGATTGATGGATTTCACATGCTAATCTCGTTCTCTTTCTCTCACTCTCCCCACCTTTCTTTCTCTCTCATGACCCAAAAGGTAAAAAGCAGGAGGAGAAGTAAAGGAAAAAAGCTCCTGTAAATCATACAAAATATATGACAGAATTGTTACATTGAAATTAGAATCTGGAATCATCAGGTAGCCACATGAAATGCCAAAGACTGGTGGCACAAAGAATGATAATAGATACAATTTGTGTGTGTATGATACTGTGTAAAATATCATTTATATGCATAACATTATGTTTACAATTTTAAATCAAACAGTAAGTTGCTACAGATTTAAAATTGGGAAAACAAGCACTGAAAAGGTAGGAAATAAAGTTTTTCACAGACTCTTAAGTGTGGAAAGGACTTTGAAAGTCATCTAGTCCAACTCACTGCACAGATGTAGGATATATAGTCCTAAATCATCCCAGGAATATTTCCATTCAGCTTCTTCTTGAAAACCTTTAACTTTAACCTCCTTAAACTTTAACCTTTACCTTTAACCTCCACAACTTTTCTAGCTAGTTTGTTCCATTTCATATTATTCTGACAGTTAGGAAGATTATACCGGATTTAAACTAAATCTTCTTTGATACTGTTTAAAACCATTGTCTCATGCCTTACCCTCTGTAACAAGGGAAAACAGTTTTTCCTCTCATTTGTTTATGACAGCCTTTCAATTATTAGGAAACTGTTATCACATATCCCTCAATCTCCTTTGTCTGCATTAGTAATACCAAGTTCTGTTAGCTTTTCCTTATGCAGCTTGCATTTCAACCCCTTTACTATCTTTGTTGCTAACTTCTGGATCTTCTTCCATTTCTTGACATTTTTCTTGTAATGTGGTACCTGACTATTACAGCTGATAAACAGTAGAAGACTTAGCAGAAACATATGTGGAACCCCGTGTTAGACCTCATTCCATATTAACACCATTCTATTTATTTTCCTCTTTACTTATAATTATGTAATCATCTAATATGTCAATCCAGCCCACATTTCTTCAGTTTACTCATATGAATGTTATGTGGGACTGTATCTAATGACTTATTAAAGTACAGATAGACTTTTATTAGTAAATGTTTAGGATTGGGAATCCAGAAAAAAGATGACAAAGCTGATAGGGAAATACAGAGCCCCCAAGAGAGGGACTAACAATAAAGGGATGAGGATGAGGGGGGGAACGCAAATAGGTTACAGAAGATACAGTGTTAGCCAACTAAGCCCGGGGGTGGGGGGAAGGGGGAAGGAGAGGGAGGGGGTTCACGATGCTCAGAGAGAAAGGAGATAGATACACACAAACCCATTACAATTGTCCACAATGGTGAAGGAAGTGGTTCGGAGGAAGTGCCTCAGTCCATACAGAGTCTCATCGCGGGGGTCCTCTTTGGGTGGAGCGGGGTTGTTCATGGTCAAAGAATCCTTTCGGAGTGAAGTGAAGGTCTGTCTGGTGCTGGGGGGGGGATGGCGTTTCAGGCCATCCCCTCCAGGTCCGGTCCGGTCCAGTGGCGGCTCGTCTGGTGGGGTCCACTGCATTCCCCTCATCTATAAACAACTATTAACCTTGGTAAAGAAGGAAAGAGTTTGAGTAGGAATTTCCCATAACTGAGTTCAAAGACACATAATCCTTTAGATGAAAAGTTACTTTGAAAAAAGCAAAGCTTAACAACATCACAGTTTTTTTCTCACTATTTTTCTTTCCTGAACATCCTTGGAGATATATCAATGAACTTATATGAGTAAAAAAATGGATTTTTTTTTTACATTATTCCATTAAGATCAAGAAAAATCATGACATATTTGAAATAAATTACTTGTGGCAGTATAACAACGTTGGAATTTTACTTTCCATGTCTTTATTACTATAGACAAGCCAGAAAGGGTGTATTCAAACCAAGGGGGCAAAAATGTTTTCTTAGCAAATGTTAGCTAAGGTATATTAACTAACTCACAGTAAAATCCTAGTGCGGACAAGGCAGTTGTTTTTTTAAAAGGTTAGCAGATAAAATTTATTTTTGAAATCCCTGGTAGTGTTCCTTCAATCTGCTACCCTGTTCCATATCTTCATTAGGATTTTACCTTATGTTAGATACTATGCTTAATTAACACAGAACAGTGATTACCAAGCAGTGGATCTCGATCCACCGGTAGATCTTGGAGCTTCTTGCAGTAGATCTCAGAGCCGCTTGAAGTCTATCCAAGGCTGGGGTGGGGAGGCTGAGTGTGCATGTGCAGGTCAGCCCAGCAGGTCAGCCCATGGTGAAGGGAAGGGGCTAGATTGAGTTCCCCACAGTGAGGGACAGTGCTAGAGAGGCAGAAGCAGGGGTAAGTTAAGTGGGGCCCAGGCCAGGTGAGACTTACCTGCTGGGAAGGTGCACCCCCAAATATTTGTTCTTCCTTTGCCTCAATCTGCACCCCCCCAACTTCCTTCCCTACAGACTTAGCTGCTGGGTGGGAGGGAGGGGTGGCAGTGGCACACAGTAGATCTTTGGTTGCTTTTAAATGCCAAAGGTGATCTACTTAAAAAGGTTGAAGACCACTGACACAGAGTAACCTTTTTTTTTATTCCTGGTAAATGGAAAACTAGAGAACCATTCTAAATTCACTGGCTTTAAGCAAAAGAAATAATGTTTGACTAGTTAGGATGATGACCTGGGAAATTCAGAAATGAGTCTTTAATTTCCTACTGTCCAACAGACTTTCTGTATAAACTTCAAAAAGTCACTTAGAGATTTTAAAAGGCATTTAGATGCTTACTTCCCATTGGTTTCAAATGGGAAATTCTCAGATACCCTTAAGGTGCTGGCCCTTTGGATTTCAGTTTCCTGTCTGTAAAGCAGATAACAAGACTTCTTTGCCTCACAAGATTGTTGTGAGAATACATTAAAGACAGTAAGATAGATACTTTGGTGATGAGAGTCATATAAGTACCGGAAAGAAACAGAAAAAATGTGCTAAAAATGGCTTTATTTCTGCTACTTCGTAACTCCTTCTAAAGTTTGACTCTGAAAAGATAAGTTATCTGTGAAATCCTGCTGTACACTGATTAAAACCCCGCAGAGTTTGTACCCATTACTGATTTTTGCAAATATCAGTATACATCCAGCACTTACAGATAAACCATCTTAAATTAATATTTGATTTAAGCTGCTGATGAAAAACATTTATTATACTAAAAGGTTAAGCACTGAGGTTTCCCTAGTACTAGTTCTGATTAATTATGAATACTTCAAGCTTAATAATACATATTTTGTTATCAGAATGATAGATAACATACATTAGCAACCCTTCAACTCCAATATTGGCTCATTAGTTAATATCTAAGAAGTACTTTGAAAAAAGGAGAGTGCCATACGTGTGCTGAGTACTGTAGAATTTGTAGTTTTTACTCTAAGTTAGTTTTTGTGCATTTGAACAATCTGGAGGGAAAAATTACAATGAGAATTCTCATAGAGATGATGGAAGACCATTCTATTATCTTCCTATTTAGTCCTTTGTAGTCCTGCAATCTTCCTACTTAATTAGTGGTAGTGAATGAGCATCTAATTTCTGGGTTCGGAATATGTAGAGTGGGAGCAAGTGGGAGCAGCTTGGCTGGGTGTATTTTCTGTCAATGTCTTAGAGTGCACTTGGACTTCAATGTAGATATCATAGAATCATAGAATCAATGAGTCGGAAGGGACCTAGACAGATCATCTAGTCTGACTCCCTGCCATGGGCAGGAAAGAGCACTGGGGGTGGCAGGGGTCATAAGACCCCAGCCAGGTGCCTATCCAGTCTCCTCTTGAAGATTTCCAGGAAAGGTGAGAGCACCACCTCTCTGGGAAGCCTATTCCAGGCTCTGGCCACCCTTACAGTGAAGTAGTTCTTCCTAATAGCTAACCTAAACCTATCCTCCCTCAGCTTGTGGCCATTGTTTCTGGTGACTCCAAGGG